CACAAATCCGCTCCCCCTAAGGGTTAAGATCACGCTCTCTTCAATTCTTCTCTAATCTAAACACGGCTTTCCCAAGCATAGCATAGATAGTAAATAGAACCTAACTGCTGGCCAGACAATTAAGCAATTAAACACAGAATTGAAGAAACAACCATATGTTGGTGAATTATAATCAAGGTTAAGTTAATATCAAACAACAATATTCATGGCTAAATCACAACCCTAGAACAATGGGTGTTTAGCCACTCATGATGTAATCAAACAATTGCATAAGTGTTGAATAATTGAAAATACTAGAAAAGATGAAGAAAACTGAGAATTCTCCGCTTCCTCACGATCCCGTGTGTGTTTTTTACTCCAAAGTGGTGTATCCCCTCAAAGTGGTGTTTTTAGGATGTATTTATATGACCTAGGGTTGATGAGGGGCGGAATTCTTCAATCCAACTTCGGATGGGAGTGCTGGAATCCGCGTCTTCCTTCGTGTCTAGACGCGGACTTTGACGCGGATCCGCGTTTGCCTTCGCGTCTAGACGCGGACTTTGACGCGGATCCAGCTTTTGAGATTCTTCCATTTCGCGAAGCGCTCCGTGCCTTTGCTTCGCTTCGCTGTTTTGTGCCTTAAATTTTTTCCTTTTTCGCGTCCGACTTCGTGCCACGCACGAGAATAGACGAGCTCCCAGTCCTTTAATTTCTTCTTTTTGTGTCGAATTGTCATCTTTTGATCATTTATCATCCAAAATCGTTCCTACACATAAGAAACACATAATGAGTATATTTCACTTCGAAAATCATGTAATTTCCCGCGACACACACAAGAATTAATATACAAATATACTCAAAAATATGCACTTTTCATCATTTATCAACACCCTACACTTAGACTCTTGCTCGTCCTCGAGCAATTGGACAATCTAATGAACCCCCAACTACGTACAAAGTTCAATCATAGAGAAACACCCTAACTTTTAACCACACATATTACCCTTGACTACAATCAATATCGGCACACAAGCATGAACACACAAAATTTCACATTCTTCCCGTTTAAGTATACCCAATTAGAGTATTTCAATTCAATAAATTCCAACAACCTATTCGTCACCGCCCAACCTCAACAATCGACTTGCAACCACTAAGCACCCTCAATTCATGCACTTACCCAACAAGAAAGTTTACAACATTACCAATCATTCATGAGATCATGTGCCCTCACCAACAAACGAAAGAATGAGTATAAATTGGTCCACACTTTCAAATATACTTTTGAATATAATTTAAGGACATCACACAATTGAACAAAATTCACTCACTCTCACAAAGAATTCATATGCATCCCGTGGTCGTACCATAAGCTTGCCCGTAGTGTATATTTCCACTAATTTAAGCTAGCCAATCTAGGATCAATTAGGACTTTTAGGTTGTAATGTAAGCTAAGGGACGGGTAGGATATATTTAGAAATAGTGGCTAACCCTCCTAAGCACTTTAATACACTACATTTACAATTCAAGCACATACTCTTCTCCACCAAATCACTTGCCATATACAACATAGCCCTCTTTTCAATTAAGCACTTCTCTATTTTTCACTAGCACAAATCAATAAGAATTGGAGGTGTTTATTTTTCTACATACTTTCACCATCAATTTTTTTCTTTTCTTTAAATTTTTCTTTTTCTTTCTCTTTTCTTCACACACTCCATACAATAAAGTTCATTGGCTAGTGTCTTTTGATTTCAACTTTAGTGCACCAACGGGCCCTTCCATGGTTCCACTCAAAAGCTACTCCCTAATCTCTAACCTTACTTCTTTTAGCGACTAAGTGCATTAGGAGGTAAAGGTTCAATCAATATCAAATTAAGAATAAAATAGGGAATGGCTTGTAATGTGGGTGCCAAAAGAAAGGTCTATAGGCTCAAAGGGGCTAGCAACGGAAAATTTTATTTTTATGTGACAAGCACATCCATGATCATGAAAGAAAATGCCTACGTCATCTCCTAGATTAGCACAACTTACAATTTCGCTTTAATTAACATACGGGGCAAGTTCTAGACTACACAGGATAGCATAGAAAAACACGAATCCTTACATACACGTTGCATATGACTCAATCAAGACGATTCTGTTCAACTCTCAAGTCAAGCAAGCANACCCCCTCTCCAGCTGACTTCTCTGGCTCCTTAGCTTTTTCTGATGTTGATTCTATAGTGGTTGGCCTCTCATTAAAAGTCACCTGTTTCCTCTTTTTAGACTGAACTTCTTCTAGTTGTCTCTCATTCCTCAACGGCACGGCATTAAGGGCTGCCCTAGGATTTGCTTCAGCGTCATTTGGAAGAGCTCCAGCTGGTCTAGTGTTTTGAGCACTGGCCAGCTGTCCCATTTGACGCTCCTAATTTCTCATTGTTGTGGTGAGGGCTTGCTGTTCAGCCATCACTTTCCGAGAGAGGCTTGCTGTTCAGCCATCACTTTCTTTAACATGTCTTCAAGGTGACTTATAGGACTCGCTTGTTATTCAACCTGAGGTGATCTATATTGCTGTTGAGGTGCCTGAGGCCTGTATTGATTCTGAGTACCTTGGTTTCCACCCCAAGAGAAGTTTGGGTGGTTCCTCCAGTTGGAATTGTAAGTGTTCCCATATTGGTTTGTTTGGCCCCTATTTGAATTACCCACAAAGCAGACAGACTCTGGGTTTGCGGGGCATATGTCGCTCGTGTACCCCTCTCCACATATTTCACAAAAAGCTTGAACCTGTTGTACTGGTTGTACTTACTGCTTGTTCATACTCAAGGTCATCTGATTGACTTGATTGGTCAGTGTAGAAATCTGCGCTGATAATGCTGAGACAACATCTGACTCAAGAACCCCTGCAGACTTTTGCACTGTGTGTCTGCCCATCTCTCCTTGCCAATCCGGATTGCTCATGTAGAATTTGTTCAATAATGCATATATCTCGTCAAAGCTTTTCTCCAACACTTGTCCCCCAGCTGCGGCATCTACCACTATCTTTGTTTCAGAATGTAGCCCTTCTATGAAAGTGTGAGCTAACACTTCATTCGTCTCATTGTGATGAGGACAGTCTCTGAGTAGCCCCTTGAACCTTTCCCAAGCTGAGTATAAAGATTCTCCCGCTTTCTGTTTGAAGGCAACTATCTCACTTCTGATCTTTGCAGTTTTGCCTGAAGGGAAGAACCTTGCCAGAAATTTTCTCGCCAAATCATTCCATGTTGTAATGGAATTAGCAGGTTCTGCCTTTAGCCATCGCTTAGCTTCGCCCAATAGAGATAATGGGAAAAGTGTAAGCCTCACATAATCGATTCACCATTCGTATTGTGTTCTAATTAACTCTCCCTTTCATATAATTCACTCATGGTTGCTAATTAATCGATAAATGCTCTCATAGCCTTCTCCCGAAGTACTACTCACCTATTGTCAATAGATTAACGCCTATATTCCTATGAAATCAATCTATTAAGAACGCATTAAGATCACGATATTTAATTAAGCACGGTGACTAGGTATATTCCTATCCTAACCACAAATCCGCTCCCCCTAAGGGTTAAGATCGTGCTCTCTTCAATTCTTCTCTAATCTAAACACGACTTTCCCAAGTATAGCATAGATAGTAAATAGAACCTAACTGCTGGCCAGACAATTAAGCAATTAAACACAGAATTGAAGAAACAACCATATATTGGTGAATTATAATCAAGGTCAAGTTAATTTCAAACAACAATATTCATGGCTAAATCACAACCCCAGAACAATGGATGTTTAGCCACTCATGATGTAATCAAACAATTGCATAAGTTTTGATTAATTGAAAATACTGGAAAAGATGAAGAATTCCAAGATGTTCTTGCTCCTCAATGGTTCTTGCGTGTATTTTTGCTCCAAAGTGCGCCTCTCCCCCAGAAATTAGGCTTAGTCTTCCTTTTATACGTGTTGGATAGGTCTAGGGTCGAATAAACCGTGTCCCGGGCAAAATAGGAGACAACCCGCGTCATCGGCGCCCAGCCCGGCACCAGGCACCCTCCATAGCGCCCCCATATTTGTGCATACTGTTTTCAGCGCCACAGATGGCGCCAGGCGCTGCCTGTGGCGCCCAAATGGCTTCCTTTTCCGATTTTTTTCGTTTTAGCTCAAATCTTGCACGTTTCGCCCCTACTTGCTCCCGAATCATTCCTACAAGTATAAACACTTCAAATTAATATAAATCATAGCATTTAACATCCCAAATTCACGAAACAAGAGTAAAATATGAGGCGATATACATAGAAATATATATGCTTTAAGCCAAACATCACTTTGCCAAGTGAAATAGTGCATACACTTTTTAGCATTTTACTCAATGCAACGTAGTCAATATTGATGGTCTTGCCATCTATAATGGCTTTAAGAAAGGCAATTGAAATTTATCTTTGTATGCTATTCTCTGATCCTATCCCTGCACTCTACTCAAAAGGACAACTGAAGCAACAATTCTTCACAGCCATTTACAAAGTTATGCATGTGAACTAGATCTAATTATCCAATGGTCAGTGAAGCAGGCCAACTATTATGGAAGAACTCTAATATTATGAGTCATGTAGTATACTTAAGTGGTATACTATATATTTTCAGAATTGTTCTCCTCCCATTTAAAGAATGCACCTTTCTTTTTTCCCTTTTAATATATCTTGATGGAGAACCCTTCCTAATTCCAAATGGAATTTAAATATTAAGGTTGAAAGTTTCAAAGTTCACTAGGTACAGCTTGACTTTGCTTGCAGATCGATGTTTATATTTTGCATAATAAGAAATAAATTGCAACCACCTAGAATCAATATTAAGAAAATATTACCGTAATAAAATAGCACCTCTTTTCAACAGCATGGCATGCAAGTTGCCATGATCAACCCAACTATATTGTTTACGAAATGAACAATTCTTTTATGAAACTCTTTGCTATATAAATGCATGTTTCAGATAAGTAGTATTCATACCCAATAAACCTAATCGTTTATTTGCCATGGCATTCACACATTCTCTCCTTGTATGCTTCTTACTTCAATTCTTGTTCTCTTCTTCTCATGCATCTCTTTCTTCTGATGAAATTTGCAGCAACACCCCTTTTCCTAGCTTATGCAAATCTTTACTCCCTCAGAATAATTCTATTGATATTTATGACTCAGGAAGGCTCTCCATCCAGCTTTCCCTTTCAACAACTAGTCAGATTCTTAAATCAATCAATGATTTTCTCAATCCAATTGATCTATTACTGCCTAAAAGCACCAGTTCTGCTCTCCAAGATTGCCAGTTCCTCCTTGGTCTAAACATCGATTTGTTATCGAATGCTGCTGCTGTTACTAAGAAACCGAAAGATTTCCTTGCGAATACAGAAGCAGATGATGTATTAACCTGGCTTAGTGCTACTATAACCAATAAACAAACTTGTTTGGATGGTCTTCTAGTTGCGCCTTCTATTTTACAGGTTTCTAAGTTGATTACCCCCTTAATTTCTAAAGGTACGTAGTGTTGAAATCTATGACAATCTTATGGAGTAAATGTTTACGTTGTTAAGAGTGCACACTTTTAGTTTACTTAATTATATTATATCTCAACACGTCTCCTCACGTGGAAATATCTTTTGCATTTTGAGAGGGACGGTGAGATTTGAACCTAGGACGTCTTGTTTGCTTTGATACAATATTACATTATATGACTACCTCATCTCAAAGTTTAAACTGTTAAAAGAAACATATTTTTAATTTACTAAATTACATTATGTCTCAACAGGAAGCATGACGTGTAGCGTGTCACTCGCGCTCTTTAAGAATGGGTGGAATCCTGATTCTCTTTTAGGGAAGGTAATTAGTTGGAGTATGTTGAAAATTAGCCAAAAGGTAATAGTGAATCCTGATGGAACTGGGGATTTTACTACTATCAATGATGCAATCGCAGCTGCCCCGAACAATACCCCAGCAGATGAAGGCTATTACCAGATATATGTGGTTGCTGGTGTCTACCATGAGTATGTTTCTATTGCTAAAAACAAGAAGTATTTGATGATGGTTGGTGATGGCATAGACAAGACTATAATCACTGGGAATAGAAATGTACCTGATGGATGGACAACTTTCAATTCTGCCACTTTTGGTAAGTACTTACCATCGAAATATGGAGTATTAAATTATTAATCCATCTTCAATCAATATGTAGAACTGGAAAACCAAATCTTTTTTGGCTCTTTTATGGTTTATTGACTATCAGACTGCGGAACATATTAAATTTTTCGGTGCATATCTAAACACATCATATGGGGTTGACATATATAATATTATACTCCCTCCGTTTCAATTTATGTGAACCCATTTGACTGGGCACGGAGTTTAAGAAAAGAGAGAAGACTTTTGAACTTGTGTGGTGTAAAATGAGGCACATATATTTTGTGTAGCCATAAATCATTGCATAAAGGTAAATTGTTTCCAAATAAGGAAAGAGGTCATTCTTTTTGGCACGAACCAAAAAAGAAATATGTTCACATAATTAATTGAAACGGAGGGAGTACAGTTTTTAAGGAAGACAAAATTAATGCCATGCATGCAGTTCTCCATGTTCTTCAATTCGCTAATGGATTATATATTCTATTGAAGTCGTATCTTGTTTAAGCTTGTTAAATAACTACATGCTTGTCATCTAAATCTCCAAGGATTCTTTACTATAAAGCCAGCTGTATATATAGAATTACTATACTATTATATCATCACCGAGACACCGACGAAAATTTAGGAGTTAAGGATTTGAAGTTGGTTGGGGGGAAGGGAGATAGATGAAGCTAATAAGTAATCCTTCCAATTATTGGGAAGGAACAAGGCACCACTTTTCTTTTTAATAGTTAACATAAACTTATTTTAACATGTTACATCATCAGATTACATACAATTATATAACTATTTTATCAGAAAATTTATAATTACTCTTTCTATGGCATCAATCGAATTTCAAAAGTGAAACTTCTTAATTTTGACCATGAATTCTGATAAAGAACTTTTAAATTTTTTGAAATAAAATTAAATATATTTAAAAGGCATATGAAAAAGTTTGCGAAGAAAATTTTGTTTGACTCTAAATCCGAACGGTGCCACATAAATTGTCATGCACACACGAGATAAACTATTTTTTATGGTTCTAAGTAGCCTTTGATACACATGCAGCTGTAGATGGGCAAGGATTTGTGGCAGTAAACATTACCTTTAAGAACACAGCAGGAGCAGCAAAATTCCAAGCCGTAGCCGTAAGGAATAATGCTGATCTTTCCGCATTTTACTCCTGTAGCTTTGAAGGGTATCAAGACACTCTGTACACACATTCCCTGAGACAATTCTACAAAGACTGTAATATCTATGGGACTATAGATTTCATATTCGGAAATGCAGCAGTTGTTTTCCAAAACTGTAATATATATCCACGCCTTCCATTACACGGCCAGTTTAATGCAATTACAGCACAGGGCAGAACAGACATTAACCAGAACACAGGCATATCCATGCACAAATGTACCATTACTCCTGCTTCTGACTTAGCCTCGTATGATGGCAGTAATCCAGTACGGACATACTTAGGCAGGCCATGGAAAGAGTATTCGCGAACTGTTTATATGCAATCATTTATGGACAGTTTTATTCATTCTGATGGTTGGTCGATTTGGACAGGAGATTTTGCGTTAAGTACGTTGTATTATGCTGAATATAAGAACACGGGTCCAGGATCGGATACCAGTAACAGGGTTACATGGCCTGGTTATCGTGGTGAGATTGACTTCCTGGATGCATCTTATTTCACTGTCTCCAATTTCTTAGTGGGGAATTATTGGCTGCCTTGGACTGGAGTTCCTTACACTGGTGGTTTATATTTATAAGCAAGGAATTTTTCTTGATCTTTTATTTAATTTGATTGTGCACTTCAGTTAATTGCAAGTGATCACTGTATCCTCTTTATTTGTTTGTTTGCCAGTTTGGTTCTTTGAATTTATATAAAAAGTTCATTAATTCAAGAAAAGATGTCAAGTCAATAAAATACTGGAATTAACTGTGTTATTGTCATTACATGAACAATTTATTACCTTCCATGTGTTAATTATTAAATTTAGTTGTTTTGCAAGAACATATTAGCAGACGGGACTAACGATAGGTTTCTCCCTGTTAAAAGTAGGAAATTTGTTTGGACTGAAGTTAACATTTATTGGTCATTTAGACATTTACCCTGTAAACGTGTAAATAAACGTGTTCGTAACTTTGGTATGCTTAAGGTTAAGTATTGCTGTGTTTAATCCGTGTAGAAAGTATGGTTAAAATGTACCCAAGGGACTACGGTTGAACATCACTGTTTTACCCCCCCGTAACTTTAGGATTTGAAATTGATCAGTCAAAAAAATAGGAGTTGGTGGATGGTGGTAAAAATCTCCTAGCTTTTTGGAAACTATAATAAGACACAAATTACCAACTTTCACTTTTATCCTCCGTCAATATGCTTGTTTCCCTCTAAGCTTCTGATCTAGAACAGAACAAAATTTGGGAAAATGCTATAACTTCTTTTCTCTTATTCGTTCTTTTTTTCAGCCATTTTGAGGAGAGGGTCAAGAGCAATTCTCCGGGCCCTTCTCCGTAACAATTTGGTAATTGAACGCTAAGCAACATTATTTCCATTTATTTTTTTACTATCTAATTCAACCAGAGTTAAATTTCCCATTAGAGATCAAACATGGCGGGAAATAATCGTAAGAGGAATGTCGCGATTATCGGTGTATGTTCCTTAATCTTGGTGGCTATGGTAGTTGCAGCAGCCATAACCACGAAGGGAAAGGACTCAGATAATAATGGTCAAGATGTCACGACTTCGCAAAAAGCTATTGAATCCATTTGCCAAACAACACGTTATCAACATACATGTGTTGAGAGCCTGGAATCCTCAGCTGAAGGCTCCTCAGATCCCAAAGAACTTATCCAAAAGTCATTTCAGGTGACAATGAAGAAAATTAAAGAAGCAATTGAGAATTCAACAATGTTGCAAAAACTAGAGAAGGATCCAAGAGCGAAACTTGCCCTGGAAAATTGTCAGAAGTTGGCATGGCAAGCCGTTAATGATCTCAATCGAACACACATCAAATTCGAGAGTTTTGAGTTCAATGATCTAAGTCATTGGATTGCTGATTTGAAGATTTGGTTAAGTGGTGCCATTACATATCAAGAAACATGTTTGGATGGCTTTGAGAAAACCACAGGAGAGACAGAGGAGAAAATGAAAAAAGCATTGAATTCTTCGATGGAACTAACTAGCAATGCCCTTTACATGATTACCGAGATTTCATCTGTTTTCACAAGTCTCAATGCTGGCAGCTCCAGTCGTCGTCGTCGTCTTCTCCTTTTCGACGAGGCCCCTGTCTTAGGTCATGGAAATGAGTTGTTGCCTGATTGGGTTGATATGAGAAGGCGCAGACTTCTTGCTGCTAAGGAAATTAAACCTGATATTGTTGTTGCCAAGGATGGATCAGGGAAATATAAGACAATTAACGAGGCTCTCAAAAACATCCCCAATCATAGAAACCAGACTTATGTTCTGTACATCAAACAGGGTGTTTATAATGAGAAAGTAGAGTTTACTAGCTCTATGACGAATTTGATGGTCATTGGAGATGGTCCAACAAAGACAAGAATTACTGGGAATCTAAACTTCAAAGATGGCACTCCCACCTATCTCACCGCAACTGCAGGTAAGTTTTGGCACGATAAATATACAATAATATTATAAATACCCGTTAGTATTTCATAACACATATATTTACAACTCTTTAACTTTAAACTTAAGCAATATAAATATAATGAGACGTTTAGGACTACAAGTTTTAAGGGCATTTTTGGTATGTGCGAAAAGCTTTAATTTTCTTTGTTTGCTTAATTTCGTGCCAGTCAAACACTGACAATTAATGTGACTATTGTAGCTGTAATGGGAGATTATTTCATTGCTAAGGACATCGGATTCGAGAACTCTGCTGGTCCAGAAAAACACCAAGCTGTAGCTTTGAGGGTGGCGGCAGATAAATCAATCTTTTACAATTGCCATATCGATGGCTACCAAGACACACTCTGTGTCCACACCTATCGACAATTTTATCGAGATTGTGTGATCAGAGGCACCATAGACTTTGTTTTCGGCGATGGTGCTGCTGTATTCCAGAACTGCACTCTCGCAGTAAGAAAACCTCTGAAAGAGCAGCATTGCATTGTCACAGCACAAGGAAGGACAGATGCACGCCAGCCGACAGGTCTTGTGTTTCAAAACTGCAGTATCGTGGCTGATTCTTCTTACGATGAGGTCAAGGGGGAAGTCAAGACATATCTTGGTCGTCCATGGAAAGAGTACTCAAGAACTATAATAATGGAATCTTCTATTGATGATTTGATTCAGCCAGAAGGATGGGTGGAATGGAATAAAACATTCGCTCTGAGCACACTATTCTATACTGAATTTAATAATAGAGGGTCTGGTTCATCCAAAAAAGAACGTGTAAAATGGCAAGGCGTTAAGGAACTACAGATAAATCGTGTTCAACGATTCACAGCATCACAATTCCTAGATGGAGATGCATGGATACCATCTACTGGTATCCCTTATACACCTGGATTCTTCTTATCACCACCACAAAATGATGATTCTGTCGAATACTCCCCTGTGGATGACGAAGAATACAAAGACTTGGGAAGTGGTAAAGACAAATCTTCTTATGAACCTAAGATTTAGACAGTTTTAGAAAAAATATTCAAAAAAAGATTTCTAAAAGAACTTTTTTAAAAATTCAATATTTAGATTTTCTTGAAAAAAAATGTTTGGGTGGATATATATCTATATGTGTGCATGCATACATACACACACATGTACACAAAACTAGAAACTATTGATCATTAATAAAAATATCCTGACTCCAACTTGTTTGGATTGAGGCGTAATTATTGCTATTATTGTTGTTATTATTACTGTATGTTAGTTAGAAATATCCTTCAAAAACATATATTAAACTATTAATTGAAACCTTAAATAAGAATAGTGTAAGAATAGTACAAGATGTAAATACTAATTTTTACATTTTGAATAATAAAAAAAAAAAAGCATAACTTTGTGAATATTACTCCAACAGTGGATCCAGTTGCAACTCCAGTGTCAGCTCCGGTGGCAGCTCCCGCAGAATCTCCGACAGAATCTTCTGCAGAAGCTCCGACAGAATCTTCTGCAGAAGCTCCGACGACAGAACTAGTAGTGGTAGAAGCTCCACAGTCAGAATCGCCAGTAGAATCTCCGGCAGCAGATTCAGAAGAACATCGGACAGACACACAAGCACCAAGCCCAGCGGAATCTCCGTCGGGAGAAGTATGGCTCAACAGTAGTGATGGGAGCGACGGCAGCTCCTAATTAACAAGAAAGCTATTGGGGCCTTGTTTATAAGCTTTTAATTCTCAGGAGCTTGAGAAAAATCATGTGGTTCTCATCTTCTTGATTGGGAAATTTGTTCATTATGTGCATGAGTCAATATGCTTGCTTCACCACCCAATCAACAATTTTTGCTATTTGGAGATATACAAGCCAATTGTTGCTAACAGCTCGAACAATTAAAAAAAAACTGTGTATAGGGAAGATATAAAAAAAAAAAAAAAAACAGTTATTTTGTCGAAAAATTGAATTTTGCAATTTTTCACATGTCATAATCTGACTTGTAATTATATTCCTTTTCTATTTATTCTGTCTTCAAAGTTTTTATTTTCTTTGAAGAGTTTTGCTTACTTCTTTAGGTAAATTAATCCAGGATTACTATGACAAATGGCTGAATATTTTAAATTAGATGAAAATAGAAAATACTTTTTGAGTTTTCCATTGTGGGTGTTTTTTTTGTAAATCTTGTTGATATTTTGTTACGTTAAATTAGTTCGTTTATCTCAAGTTGGTTTTCCATATATAAAGTTTATAGTTTATTTTATATAAATGTAAAAAAAATTGAAAAGCCTCTCCAATTTATATGTTCTATTAGGGGTGTCAATGGTTCGGTTCGGCCGGTTATTTTATAAAATTTGTACCATACCAATTTTTCGGTTATTCTATTATGTATAACCAAGATTAGACTTTTCGAAACCATCTCAATCATGTCGGTTTCTCTTCGGTATCGGTACGGTTCGGTTATTTTTCGGTATTTTTTTAAATATAATGTAAAATTCACCAGTAGACGTAGAATGCAATAACATACGTTCTTTTATATGACTTAGCAAAATTCTTTAAATATTTTTACTGTTTAAAGGGTGATGAACTAAAAAAACATGAAAGATGGCTAGAGTATAGATCCATCAACTACTCTAGAGCAACGTAAAAGCAACCAAGTAAAAGCAAGAAAAATATAAATCACACGAGTGGAAAGATATTAACCAATTGGACTCAAGAATAAAGTCTATAGAAGATTAAATTAAGATAAATCTAAATTATATGAAAGGAAACATTTCAATACATTGTAGTTGCTAATCATAATCACTAGAATACTTTGTGTCTTGCTAATACAATTACTTGAAATAACTTAGTTTAAGTAGAAGTAGCATAATAGGTTTTAGGAATTAGTATTTTGAGTTTAATTACTTGTTGGCTTGTAACAATTTTCATAATTTCAAGTCCCAAAGAAAAATTTAATGCTTTATTATGTTTAAACTTACTATATAAATATATTTTCCACATATAAAATTTATTCGGTACGGTTCGGTATTTTTTCGATTTATTTTTAAAAAATAAAAAACCTACCCTAATTATCGGTACGGTTATAGATTTATATAAAAACCTACGCGTTTTTCAAAAGAAACCTAAAAATCGATTCGGTGCGGTACGGTTCGATCGGTTTAGTCGGATTTCAAATATCCATTGACACCCGTATGTTCTATTGATAAAAATGAAAAGAAAGCATATCCGTATTTCGGATGCGGTCCATGTTGAGCATACTCTTAATAAATTATTTATGGCAAAAAGAAAATGTAATAGGAATACTTTTTTTTTTTTCGGTTAAAGCTTAAATTTTTTATTAATCAAAGTATCAAATATACACACCACATGCTCTTTGGACTTTAGAGACATGTCTTACAAAAATAACCAAAGAGAATAGCTACAGTCTATCTATTGGTCTCATAGTAGCTGATGTAGGCTAATAAGCTAACAACTATCAATGTATTCTACTGCTATAGTTACTCCTGTTACACAATCAGGTAGGGTAACTATCTAGTCTTTTTAGTACTTGTTGTCACTTGTTTTATCTTTGTCCTGCAATGTGCACTTGTAGGATCATTTCTCTGATTCTATCACTGCTATCTCGATTGATTTGTTGGAATCTTCTGTTATTCCTTTCTGCCCAAATGTGGTACACTACTGCTGCAAATAAGACACATGCATATGGTACTTGAATTCCCCAACTCAGTAACCTATCAGTTGTTCTGAACTGCCATCCAAAATATGAAGGAGTGTCTAGGAATTAGTCCTCTGCTCATTACCAAGGACCTCCATAACACCTTTTGGTATCGTAGCACACTAGCAGTATATGCTTTTTCTTATTATAAATTTGTCTTCAGAGGCATGTAAATTCAACTCTGCAACTCCAGTTGTTAGCCAATTTCGAGCATCAAACACTTTCCTCACTACCCATGAGGCTTGTTTTGGAGTAGGTACAATGTCTAGATCCTTGTCCTTTATGCAATGTGTATGTACCCACAATACCAGCAACTTGTCTTTCTTCTGAGTGATGGCCCATAGAAGCTTGCTTGTGGCTGCTTTGTTCTAAAGAAATAGGTTTATAATATTCAAACTCCCTGTAGACTTGGGCTGGCAAACTGTATCCCATACTACAAGATTTCTCCTGTTGTTTTCTTCAGCTCCATGCCATAAGAAGTTCCTATTCCTACATACTGCAGTCAATGTTTACCCGTAAAACGATACAGTTGAATTTATACATGGTTTCTAGACAAGTGAACTTTGATCCTGCAAATAATAAAATAATTGAAGAATTATGCAATACTTAGCCTTAAAATGTATATGAAATAGCAGAGACTACAGTTCCGAGATCAAGGTTTCCAGGCACAACAACGATGAAATCAAAAAGCTAGAAAGTAAAATTGTATTGAGCTTTGTATAGAATATAGTGTAAGTTCGCCAAAAAATTCATGTCCTCTACAATGATAATTGAGCTCACTACTTACAGCTGTGTCTAGGGATGGAGGTTCTAGGATCGTGCCCTCCTTTAATGTCAATTATGAGGGCCATTGATGAAGATATAACGGTGGACATACTGCCAAATTCCCTGTAACAGGTCGTCGTTCTTAATGCCGCAGAATATTCTTTATTAAATACTACCGGGCGCAGATCATTTAACACATCTTTATGATCGTTATCTCTTCCGGTGACAAGCGGAATGTTGTGTTCAGTCTTTGGCCATCCCCGTCTTGGGTTCCACGTGTCCTTCCTTTAGATGACCACGTGTCATATCATATTTTATCATTTACAGTCACCATGTTCAGAACCTTTTTGGGAAGCAGGAACACTTGTGCCTAGTAGGTTTGCATTTTAAAAAGTACACTCTTGATAAGTTGTACTCTGCCTGCATATGAAAGCCATCTGGAAGTCCAGCTTTTAACTCTAGCAACTATCTTATCCATTAGGGGCAAACACTCACTTATAGTAAGTTTTCTTGTGAATAAGGGTACTCTTAAGTATTTGAAAGGGAGAGTACCCAAAGTAAAGTGGTGCTGTGATAGGATTTGTTCTTTTACTTTAGTAAAGACCCCTGCCAAATAGATTGAACTTTTTTCCATATTGGCTTTGAGGCCTGATGCTTCAGAGAACTTGGCAAAACACTCCATCATGAGTTGTATAGAGATAGGATCTGCCCTGCAGCACATCACTAAGCCATTGGCAAAGCAGATATGCACAATCTTCAGTTTTGCACACTTTGGATGGTAGTTGAAGTTTGGATTCAGCTTCAATTGCTCCAGAGCTTTGTTTAGGTACTCCATTACTAACACAAAGAGACAAGGTGACATGGGATCACCTTGTCTCAGCCCCTTCTTTGCATTAAATTTGTGAGTCAATTGTAATAGGAATACTTTATTATATCACAATTTTCCACTATTTGTAGAAAGGGGGGAAAAAGGCAGCCTCTGGTAATAGAGGTAATGTGTTAGACTTTGCAGAGCGATGCTGTCCAACAACGAACATTCCTACAGGCAATTGTTCTTGTTCCTGTTCAGATAGCTTGGGAAATTCTCTGTTTACCAAGACAATATGCTTAGGCTCTACATTATCAATAACACGTATACATAAGTTTTGGGCCTATAAACACATATAAAATATGGAGTTTTATAGCTTTATCCACAAATATTAAACTAATTACCCTTGCCTAGCCATTGGTTTTTCTACCCACCAAACTAATTACCCTTCCTACCCATTGCATCTTTTGTGGGTAATTATTTTTTTTCTCATTTTCTTTTTTATTTCTCTACTTTTTTTTTTCTCTTTTTATGTTTTCTCGTTTTTATTTTTTTCTTTTTTCTTTTTTCTGTTCATATATCTTTTCAGAATCATATTATTCTTATTTTATTTATTCACCATAATCTGATTTTATACTCAATTTGGCTCGTTTCTTTTCTTCTTCTTTTTTCCTTTTATTCATTTTTTTTTAATTTCGCATTCCTTTTCTAATTTTATTCAACTTTTTTTAAATTTTCTTTTTTTTCCCATATTACTATTTTATGTCTTCGACACCTACTTTTTATACAATGAACATTATTTTTATGAAAATCCATCAAAAAATTTATTTAAGAAAATATTTGCAAGGACCTAGTTGGAAAAACTAAAAAAAAAAATAACTTATTTATTACGGTATACTGTTATTATATTGTATACTATAACAGTATAATATAATGTTACTATAACCATGATTGTAGCTTTGCACAATAGCACCTAGATGATTCAACAAATACAATCAAATCTCTCTATAACTGCATCGTTTGTTCCGAAATATTTTGGCTTTATAGAGAATTTTTGTTATACACTTATAACAACATGTGGCGTTTGATTATATTTTGGTTGTTATAGACAAAAATTATTCAAAAATTATTATTTTTTCTTTTTTTAATATTACATATAAAGGTAAAAAAATATTTAAATTTAAAATCTCAAAAGATATGAATATTTTACAAATTAAATGCTAAATAAAACTAATAAATTATTAAAAAAATTCATAACTAAATGTACAAACATTTAAACTCTAAGGCACATGATTAAATCTTTCAAGACTAATGGAAGAACTCCATAATTGTAGCTTGTTTCGTAGATTTCAGTCTCTTACTAGCGGTATAACGCTTGAATCGGTAAAGATTTGCATCCAAACTTTCAACAAAAAGGATATCCAAATGCTTTTCCTTGAAGGCAATCTAAGAGCTTAACAATGAATCTTCTATCTCAGTCCAAGCAGTAGATTGAGGTTCTTTGTCAGCACTTTCATCTACCTCCATAGTGTCTTCTTTTTCCACTCCAATAACTTGGGCAATAGTTTCTTCATCAGTGAAAGTCTCAATAATATGAAGTGTTTCAGCAAATGGCACCTATGTGGTAGCATCCATCGTCTCATCGATGTTATCAAATGGGATTTGTGCTATAAGTGATAATACATTCCCAACATCCTCGACTACTTCAATGTTTTCACTATCAATATTGGGATTGTCATGTGTAGGTAGGATTTCGATCT